AGTCTCAGGATCTCTTTACATCTCAAGCATTAAAAGAACTCTTGTTTACTTAAGTCACAGCTATCACTAAATACCTAAGTTAGAAGTAAAAACAAATTTTTATATTAGTTCATTTTTAAAAAGAAAGCACATTTTAATATAAATAACCTTTTTATTTTTTAAAAACCTCTTTTCCAAAACAAAGATAATTTTGTATGAAATGGGGCACTTACATATTTTTATAAACCTCTAATATCTGGCTTAATAGAAAACAAGGGATCGTCATAGCTACTTCCACGCTCAGTTTGTTGCAATATGTTGTTTTGGTTCAAGAATATGAAGAAAATCAGGACTCCCACAAACATACAGCTTAGAAAGGGCGTAGTATTTTAACAGCTATTTCAGATAACTTACCCTCTCTGATACTACACGCAGAACACAAGCAGATGTTTCTCAAAGGTTAGTTGCATGTGAAATCTGAAACCACATCAACGAAGTTTTCATAGTGCTCCCTTAAAACTCATTAGTTCATTTTGTACATTGGATGGTTATATTGGTTATTGGAAAATACTGATTCACTGAGTTATGCAAATTTCCAAATACTGACAGATTTCATGATAAAATATCAGAAATTACATTCATTGATACCGCTACTCAATCTCATCTTTAAAGTACTGGGAAGCTCTTAAGCTCACTACAGTGGTTACAAATTTTCAACAATTCTGCATTTTACCTGAGAGCTCAATTTTTTATCACTGGCAACAAATACTATCAATTGTGTTTCTTGAAGGGACAGAGTCACCGTGTTCATTCTGGAGAACATTTCTGCTAAACGTCCAATTCTGAAACCATAAATAACATGAAACTCCCTAACATTGGTAACCTTTCCTGCTTCATCAGGATATTCTTAAGCAGAAGCAGCATTAGTTCCGTCTCGTGTGCATGGGGTGGAGATGAAGGTGAAGGCGAAGGTGAGCGGGGCTGCCGCAGCCTCAGCACCACCACCTCTGCACCTCCACTCCAAGTGTCAGCACAGGAAACAGGCAAACACCGTCGGCGTGAGCGGGCAAACAGTCCGGGCCTCACGGATTCCCTACAGGTGTCTGAAGGGATGCCCAGGGTTCCTCAGGTCTCACTTGGAAAACCACTATTCTAGATTATCCAAACACTGATGACTTAAGAACTTCTCTGTAAACAGTGAACCTGTGTGACCTCTGTAACCCAAGACATCGGGGAAAACCAACATCCCGGAATAAGGAGGGTGGTGGTCTCTGAACCACCGTGTGGGGGCTGGGGCAGCTTCGCAGATGGGGAGAGAGGGTGGGTGTCCAGCGCTTCTGAGAACCAGACCAACTGGAATGGCCGCCGGTGCGCTCTCCCATTCCCGAGCCAAGGACCCAGGAGCACCTGTGCCCAGCCTCACACAGAGGACAAAAAGAAAGAAGGAGAGGGCAGCAAGAGCGCTGGAAAGACTTCTATCAGATAACTGGTTTCTTCAAAATGTGAATTTTATATAGTTTATTTCCATTTCACAGAAATAATTCAATCTGTTTACCAACAGTCAGATCTTAACCATAATACTAGGTTCAGTTATAAACACTATTTTTAATTAAAAAGCTTCACCTCTTCAGCTCACACATAAAGGAAATATTTACCAATACCACCTCATATAGGAAATTTGGTAGTTCAAAGTACTTCTGATGGGACAACAAAGTCATAAAATGTTACAGCAGAAACAAAAGAAACGCTGCTTTTCCTCGCCGCTGCATGTCCTCTACCCAGCTCGGCCCTTGCAGAAAACACGATTTTTGACAAACACTGGTGAACACTGCAGTGGCTGGAGTAAGAACACGGGGCTCCTGACCTCTGCTCAAACACCTAGTGCTCTTGCTACTATATGAAATCTTTCTCATCATTCTCTAAAATAGCATCTCGGAGGAACCTAAAGGAACTATTACAATTTACACCGAGAAAACAGAACATCACCTGGTAGACTTGGAAGCTACACCTGGAAGCCGACTATGTAAATTCTGTATGTTCTCATTTAGATCACAGTTCAAAGCAAACAGGCCCATCCTCTTCATTTTTAAATATTTGTTATCCGAATTAAGCAGTCGTTTCCATTAATACATGAAGAAGTGGCAGTGGGGTACCAGGCTCACCCAGGCTCTCTACATGGACCGCACTGCCTCACACACACTGTAGGAAAGATGTCATTTTCTCTGATGATTCAGCATGGGTCTTAATTTCTTACAGTTTCTTAGGTTTATATATGAGACATGGATTGCCTTACAAGAAATTGAGATAAAAAGAGAGGAACTGTGTAGTTCCTTTGATAATCACCTTTCACTACCGCTTTTCCCTCTTAAATTTTTCCTGACATTTATCAGTTTCTCTCACAAAAGCAGTGTAGAGAACTTTAGGTACTTGAACTATCTATTTAGAATTTGGATAAAAAGAAGAGATTAATCAAATTTAAACTAATTAAAGCCTGGAAGTACCAAATTGAAATTCAATCACAGAAATGGCATAAATTTACAGAATATAATTTATCAATTTGGAACTAAAGCTACTTCAAATCACATTTCATTGTGCAATTCTGCTATGGATATAACCTCATTTCATTCCATACAGTTATTCTGCAGAAAAACATGATCTACCAAGAATACAGCCAAAGGAAATGGTCTTCTGTCGCAATCTAAAGCATTCGTACTACATACATATCCTTTAAAGAAAAAAAACTACCAGTGAAGACTTTGAAGGGAGACCATGGACTGCATCCTCTCTGGAGGTTTAAGAAAGAGAGGATTTTTCAAATGACTGGGATGGCTTAACTTGGCCTCACATTTGGCAACTGTGACAGAATCACTTCAAAGGTCTGTGACCCAAGAGATTCGAGTCCCGTCTGTCAGGGATGAGAACAAGTCATTAGCGGACTGCCTTCTACTGCTCTGCAGCCATCCAGTCCCTGCTTCGGCAACTGTCAACCTCATCCTGGAAATTACCCCGACTTGCAATTACCACTATGTCTTCCAACTACTGAAACTTTTGCTTCTCAATAGTGTTACGCAGCCCTTAAGTCCTGTTTTTTTTTTTATTATCAGGAGAGGAAATATTTTGTGGTGCAATCAATATCTGCCCTATAAACAATCCCTGTGCCATTGTTCTGTCTGAACATGGATTCCACTCTGAATTTCAGAAACAGTGATAGGAAAATAACAGATAACAGAGAAATTAGAGCTGTTAGGTTTAACTTAAGGCCAAAATCAAAAAAGAAAATTCAGAGAAAGGAAGGAAGAAGCTGACAGGGTCACAGTACAGAACACTTACTTTCAGGAACAGAGTGTCCCCTAGACTTCTGGTGAGTCGCCCAGAGCCTCTTGAGTTTCAATCCAAATGACAATGCTTCTCTGAGGGCTCCTCAAGTAATGTTCCCACCACTAAAAATTGGATCTACAAGAGCTTAGATGTACTGGCAAAAAATGGGGGCCCCAAGCCTCTGTTAAACAAGGCCCACTTCTCTGTCCTGGGCCGACTCCCCTGGGCACTACATGCCTTCTTCCAGGGGCCGGGTTGCATTCGGCCTGTTTCTTCTCTTCTGAGCTGCCACCATCTACTCTAGTTCTCAGGGTTCCTCTAACCCCAAGACTGGCTGTGGAGTAGAACACCAGCTTCCCCCCATCCTTGCTGCCCCTGCAAATAAACATATAACTTTTCTAGTTTCAGTATTTTTTCTAATGGCTACGAGAAAATAGAAAGGGAACAACAAAAAGCAACAATGTTGTACCAGAGATCAAGATCACAATAATTGTATTTACTTTAAATTTCCTGCCTCCAAAAACCAAATTTTCTGAAAATTGCTTGAGCTTCTAAACACATAAAGTACTGATATAGACATACAAATATAATTTAAATCCAACCTTATATAGATATAAAGATATAAAGATACTGCTTTTCAAAATACTTAAACCACGGGTCCAAAAATAGTTATCATATAGTGACAGTTATCACATTCACCTTTACAAATAGGTGCTTTTCTCTTTTTAGAATGTTCTGTTAGATTACCTTGAATTTAGTAGATATTTGAAAGTGCCTTTTAAAGGATATCATGAAAAAATGTTCAATGTATTTTAATGAATGAAAATGGAAACTAATAAAACAAAAAGCATATTATTATGATTTACAAGAAGTATGTCAAAATACCTAGCTTCATTAATCTAATCTTTACTGCCAAATATTTCTATCTCTACATCTTAAAAATTCAATAAAATGCTGTAAACGGTGTTTAAGAGCCAAGGTATCTCATTTTTAAAAATCTAACTTCTACTGAATACAATCTAATGTTGATAATGTGTAGGCCTTTTTTAAAACAGTGTATCGTAACCCATCAGTAGACATACTCTTGTGATAATTAAGCCTTTAATATACTTCAGAGTATCAAAATGCATGTTATCTATCTATCAAGCTATAAATCACAGGATTATGATGAAAATTAATTCAAAAGCTACCTTCTTCTAAAGGCAAAGGAACTCTAACCCAGGGCTGACAGATTAAGAATGTGCCTGACTGAATTTCCTAGATGATTTTCCTTAAATCCTTAAGTCACTTAATTGGTTTTTTAAAAGACCGACTTACTGCACTGTAAGCTTACAATAAAATAGCTAAGACAGAGAAATGGCAGAAATCATTTTATCTCGTTTGCACAGTCTAAAGATTGCCATTTAATCAAACTAAAAATTCTCAGATACTTTCAGTAAAAATGCGTCCGTGTGACTTGGCTCGCCTCCAGCCATTTATTCGTGAAACATGAGAGATGTGTAATAAAAACACTAAACAAAACCTCCATCTGACCTCCCGACGTCTGTATTAAAAAAGAAAGTTCCCGTGTATTGCACATTCCCTAATCAGATACTGTGTATCTGAGGACGGAGATTAAATTCCACCCTCCGCTCCTGCGCGGACCAGCCGGCTCCCGGCTCCCCGCCCCGCCGGGCCCCGCGACCCCGCCGCCCGGGCCTCACCGGGTGGAGGTGCCCTTGCGCACGTCGCACATCATGCACTTGAAGGCCTCGGCGCCGTTCCGGAAGGTGCACACGCTGCAGTCCCAGTAGCCCTCGTCTGACGACGGCTTTGGCTGCCGCTTCGGCCTGGTGGGGCTCTTCTTGTCGCCCATGGCTCGGCGACGGGCGCGCGCCGGGAGCCGCGCCGCGGCCGCCTGTTGTCAGCTCGGGGCCGCGGCCGGGCGGAAGCGGCGGGGGAGGGGGCGCGCCGCCCAGCGCCGCGCCGCCGCCGGATCCCACGCAGCCGCCGGCTGTCGGGGGAACTCCCGCCGCGCGCACGTGACCCGCGCCCGCCAACCGGAGGCGGCGCCCGCGACTTCAAACGCGGCCGCGCGGCCCGGCGCGGCGGCGGGTTCGAGCCCCGCTTCCCCGCGGCCGGCCAGAGGTGCGACGGCCTCCAGGGCCTCGCGACTCGGAACGCGCCCCGCTGAGCGCGCCCGCCGGGGGCCTGCGGCCGGCGCCCCAACGCGCGCAAACGGGTGCCCGGCGGGGACCGTCGCTCTGCGCTCAGAGGCGGCGCCGCGGCGCTCGGGGGACCCCGGGCGGCTTCCTCTGCTCCCAGCGGGAGGGCGGCGAAGCCGGGGACCTAACATTCCTGCTCGTTCCGAAGGCGCTCTGGAGCCTCCCAGGCCTCTGCACTAGATGCTTAAAAAGAAAATAGTACCCTAAGCCTTTTTTAGAAAAAATAAGGAGTTTCCATGTGCCCTGAACGCAGTCTGCGGACTAAGGCAACTTCCTCCCAAATCTCATTAACCTCTGCATACGGGACGCCCTCCTCTGTACTGGGTTCCAGTAACAGCCATCTAACTGGTCTCTGAAACGGTTAAGTAATCCACAACCAGATTAATAATAAAATGCTGTAATATGCCACCGCTCTCTGATCAAGGATTTTGCTAAGGCCTTCGGACCCCTTAGCTCGGCCTTCAGGGACTCCACACTCGTCCTGGCAGAAAACCTGCCTCCCAGCAAAGACAGCAGATGAAACTCATACCCTGCTTTCACCCACGTGGCTTACTTCTGCATAAAATATTTCCCTCTTCTCTCTGCTTGCACAATTTCTGGCCGTCTTAGATCCACAAGACCCAATCCCTGTGAAATAAAATCTTACAGCTAAGAAGGCTCTTCATGCCACAAAGACCCTGTTCCTTCACTGATGGACCTTGGACATTGTGCTTAATTTCTGTAGTGTTCAACTTTTGCAAAAACGGCATCTATGTTTGAGGTGTGATTAGTAATGAAATAACATTTTTTAGCACACTGCCAGGCACCTGTAACTCTCTTTACACAATGGGTACTTTAAGGGATACAAGGTACTTTGCAAAGGCCCTCATCAACTAGCCTATCCCTTCGTTTAGAAGACAAGGACTTGAGAGCCCAGGTCACATGTTATTTCCTCAATGAACAGGCCAGGATTAGAGCTGAGGCATCCTATCAGTCTTTCACCAAGCCATGCTTTCTGATTAACCAAATCACCCCAGTTTACAGCGGTCTCAGCTCACTGCACCTTCCGTACTTTTTGCAGACGTCACTTCTTGAGACTCAGACCTTCGTTCAGAAACGGAGGAACCATGCGGAATATGACTAAGGAAAGCATAACAGAAAAGGGGATCGAAGGTCATTCTTCAGGTTCAGTAATGCAGCAGGTAAGATTAGGTAAAATCACTTATTTTTATCTGTAAAATAAAGGAGATAAAACTATTCTCAACTAAAGTACCTTACAAGTCTCAGGCATGGGGATGTTTTTAATTGCTCAACTGTATAGATTATCAAAGAGACTGACAAGAACTGGTCAATTTGCAAAAGGAAGGGCAATAAGGCATTTTTTAATTAAAAGAAAACCAAATCCAGCACCCTAACCACCACTCCCCGCCCCGTACCACGCTGCTTATCACCATCTCACTAGAATATAACCTCCACCACTACAAAGTAAACTCCACTTCCGGATCATACACCCAGGAAGGGCGGGAGCTGTTATTTGTTGTCTTCGTCATGCATCTCAGCCCCTAAAATACTCTGACATATAGTTGGCCCTCGGCAAATATTCTGAGACTGAATACATCGACTTGTGCCACAATTCGTGAAAGGGTATTTTTCATCCCAAGATTCACAGCCTGTGAAGCGTGTTGTGTGCAGTGGCTGTCTAATCACTGCTGAAATTTGCAGCACTTCAAACTGAACTTGACAATTCTGCAGAGTACTGTCATCCTTGCAGAGCAACCAGGGACCCAGTTTCTGTGGAGTACAGAACATATGCCCTTGAGCTATGCCAGCTGCCTCCCACTTATCTTTGCTTCTCTTAGAAAAACCCTTTCCTGAACCAGGCTTTCCGTGAAGACAGTCAGACCAGAGGCGCTCCTCCTGTTTCACCACAAGTGTCACACCTTTTTCCTAAAGAGTTTCCTACGAATTTGGAAGAGTAGCAGGTGGAGAAGAGGAAGATACTGGTCACTAGATTGACCCAGGTTCTTACTATTCAGGTGCCTTTCCAAAACATTAATAGAGTTCAATGCAATTCACTAGGGCCACTTGTAAAATGTGTTTCTGATGATTTCCCTTTTAAAAATCAGATACTCCTTTGGTCATCGATATGATATCATTTCCATTACAGTGTGCTTCCAAGAATGGCAGAGCCCGTGGAAGGCACTGACCTGTGCGTGGGTGCCTCTGTGAAGGTGAGCAGCAATCTGCTGTGTCCAGGCAGACAGAAAACAGAAGAGAGCCTCTGTCTTGGGCCAGGAGACTGACCGGGGGATCCCAGAGCCCCCAGGCTGTTCTGATCAGCTCTGAGTCTACATCAACGAGGCAAACACAGCAGTAATAAAAACTATGCATTAAAGGTTTGTTGTAGTCATCAGACTACAGGAGCAAATACCTTAAATGAGACTGAAATGTGAGAAAATGGTGTCGCTGAGGGAGAAACGAGCTACAATCCTGCCCTGAGAGAACTCAAAATGAAGCATAAAAATAACAGGCTACAACTGTAAGACCAACCACATATTAAAAGATTGAGTTTTCTTGGTTTTCGTTTAGTTGGTGTTTTGTTTTTACAAAACGGAGACACCTTTACTGATTTTGTTAGTTATAAAAGTTACGTGTGACCACTGTATTAGTTTCCAGGGTGCCAAAATGAGTATGACAGACTGGGCTTCTTTAACAACAGAAATGTACAGTTCTTGAGGCTAAAGTCTGAGATCAGTGTGTCGCCAGGGTCGCTTTCTCCTGAGGCCTCTCTCCTTGGCTTGTACATGGCCACCTTCTCTGTCTTTCCTCCATATGTGTCTATGTCCTAATCTCTTCTTTTAAGGACACCTGTCATATTGAATCAGCACCTGCCTTAATGACCCATTTTACCTTAATTACCTCGTTGAAGACCCTATCTCCGAGCACAGTCACATTGTGAAGTACTTGGCGTTAGGACTTCAACATGAAGGTTGGAGGGGGACACAATTCAGCCCGTAATACAGCGTAAAAAGTTCAGCAAAGATTTTTTAAATTAACGTATTCAGTGCATCCTCCTAGCATTGCTGTATGGGTTCACAATCCTTATCTGAAACCTTTAAGGCTGGATATGTCTTATAAGACATTTTGGGATTTCCAACAGGCCATATGGTACAAATGCTGCAGAATCAACTAACCCTTTAAATGGGTTCTGAAGTAGAGCCCTGGAATCAGATGCGTTAATACCTGTGCAAAACACAGAAATATTCACACTATGGGGGAAAATAAAGTCTATAAATCACCACACTTCAGCTCTACTCAGATTTTACTTCTCAGTGATTATAGGTCAGGTAAAATATGAAAATGCTGCCAATTTTCAGTGCTTTTGAATTACAGGATTGAGAGGGAAGGATTTTGCATCTGTAAGAATTTGAGGACAAAGTAAGATGGAAAAAATTTAAAAATTAAAAACATCCACATCCTTTGACACAGTAGTTGGGAATATATCCTAAGGACACAACCTGAACTTTTACCCATAGTCAGTCATTGACGTTATTTTAATAAACATTAAAAATAACCTGAATGTGCATCAGAAAAGGAATAGTTAAATCAATTATAATCCAGCCAAAGAACTGCATTTTTAAGCAGTCATTAAAAATGACATTGGGGATCTGAAAATACATTTTTCCAAAGAAAATACGCATATGGCCAGTAGATACATGAAAAGATCACTAAGCACCAGAGAAATGCAACTCAAAGCTACAAGGAAATATCACGTCTCTACTGTTAATGTGGTTAGTATCAAAAAGACAAAAATAACAATTATTGGCGAGGACAAGGGAAAAGGGAACCCAGGGGCACCGTCGGTGGGAAAGTAATTTGGTGAACCACTTGGAGAACAGTGCGGAGGTGCTCGAAAAGCTGACAGCAGAGCCACCATGTGATCCAGCATTTCCCGTCTGGGTGTTTGAGGAAAATGAAAACACTGGCTCATAAAGATGTATGCACCTCCCCCATGTTCATTACAGCATTATTTATATTTACAACAACCAAGATATGGAAACAACCTGTGTTCATCGATGGATGAATGGATTAGGAAAATGTGGGATGTATATATATATATATATATATATATACA